CTCTCCCTCTCCCTCTCCCTCTCCCTCTCCCTCTCCCTCTCCCTCTCTCTCTTTCTCTCTTTGGCTTTTCCAGGCATGATTTCCATGTGTACCCTGCCTGCCCTGGAACCCACTCTATAGACCAGGCTGGCCTCAAACTCAGAGTCTGTCTTCCTCTGCCTCCTAAGTGCTGGGATTAAAGGCATAAACCATCACCACCCAGCTATGCTCTCTAATTCTAAAACATGGTCATTGACCTGACAGACACCTCAGTCCTGTCACCCATCAGCCCTTGGCAGGGACCAACTTCCTGCCCTTATGAGCTCATTTACTCTGAACGTGTCATGTAAATGGATCACACAAATCATACTTTTTTTTTCTTGGTATGTGACGCTTATCACCTTGTTTCTTTGAGAGTCACCCATATGGCATACATCAGAACTTTACTCTTTAATTTTTTAAAAATTTAAAAATGTGTGTGTGTGTGTGTGTGTATGCACACATGCCATGTCACTGGCATGGAGGTCACAGCACTACTTTTGGGAGTTGGCTCTCTCCTTACTCCTTGGTTTTGAGGCAGGTCTCTCTTGTTTCTGTGTTGTGTACTCTAGCCTAGCTAGCCCAGCTAGTCCAGGAGCTTTTGCATGATTCTCTCTGCCACTCAGTTACTGGGAATACAGATGCAGATCACATCTGGGCTTTTTTTGTGAGTTCTGACATCTAATTCGAGTTGTGAGGGCTTACTTACTGAGCCTTTCTCCAGGCTCAGAATTTACCTCTTTTAGTGGCTGCATAGTTATTTTACAGTGTGGAGATGCCCCAGTTGGTTTATCCACCCATGCATTATTGAGCTTGGGGGCAGTTACTATTTGCTGCTATGGATAATACCTCTGTGAACATTACACTCAGATTTTAGTTTGAATTCTTGTTTTCAAACAAGTATTATACCTAAAAATAAGATATATACCTAAAACCAAGATATATACAATTATTATACCTTTCAAACAAGATATATACCTAAAAATAGAATTATAGGGTCACCTGGCAATTTGAGATTTAATTTTGAAGGAAGTACCAGATTGTTTTCTCAAAATATCTTAGAAATTGTTTGGTTCTAACTACCTAACGATTGAGATCATCAGGTACTACTTTGAGTCTGGAAGCACTAGACAAAAATGACTAGGATTGGGTGTCTCAGGTAGAGTGAGTCTGGTAAGGGGAGCACAGACAGTAGCTCCTAGGCATCAGGAGGTCCTCAGATAGGACACCCTTGAGAAGCTAGCTAAAACCAAAGGCTTCAGGGTGCTCCAGGGAGGCTCTAACCCCACAATTCCACTGGCTCCAAGGAGATGAGTTAGTCTAGTTGGAGGGGTTCCTGGATGCTTTGTTTTGTTTTGGGGGGCTGTGTCACATAGCCTAGGTTGGCCACAAACTTGCTATGTAGGTGAAGTTGAGCATCTGATCCTCCAGAGTGCTGGGATTGGTTTATGAAGATCTAGGGCTCTATCCCTGAATTTTATGCATGTGCTGAGCTTCACCTCCAGCCTTCAAATGAGGACTTTAAGGTCACAGAAGCTTGTGTGTGGAGGAAATAAGAGAGGTGGGCCATTGCCAATATGGCTATAGCTTCACACCAAGTCATCTTGGGGTTAAACCTGTGGGGCAGGGAATGAATGAAAGTTCTCCAGAAGAGCGTGGGAAAGACTGATGGGAGTGGTGGTGATCAGGGGCCAAAGGGGGTGGAGTCTCTGAGAAAGGAGTGTTTCTGTAAACAGAAAGTATTTGCTTGACAAGCAGTGGGGAGTGGAAGAGGGTATTCTTCAGCCCTTTGCCCAGGGGCCTGCTAGACACCTACCATAGGCCTCACCCAAGTCAGGTCTTTAGAATTAATGCAGGCAGAATCTCTATCAAGAGCAGGCTGGATTCTTTTAGAAACACCACTCAAGTTTTGGCAGGAAGGAAGCTGGTGGGGTGGGGAAGGGTGGGCTTCAGGATTCTTTAGCTTCACAGTTCTGGGAGCTCCACACACACAGCCTCCAGAGCTGTGACTGCTCCGGGGATCCTGAAGTGTATGAACTGGGAAATAACTCTGTTAAAAGCCCCTTGACCCAGATACACACGAGGGGTGGGAAATAACTGCCAGTGTGTAGCAGTCATCTAGCTGTGTTGGCTTCCAAATTATCATCTCAGGGGTGCACAAAGGACTACCCTGAAGCAGGTGCTATTCTCCCACATCTGAGTACCTGAGGGAGGTGCTGCGTCTCTCGTAGTCACAGTCTTTGGGACCCTATCCCAGGTAGAACGGCCCCAATTTCTTTGCTCTAGACTCCTAGCCCTGCAAGGCTTCACTGTGCTTTTCCAGTGAAGATCCAAAGGCAATTACCCTGTCGCCTTCAGGGTCCTCTGCCAGCCTCACTTGTTTGGGTATAGTAATGAATGGGCCAGATGGAGAAGAGTGCACTTCAAGATCTAAGATGTCTAAGTATCACCACTTAGGTATTCTGTCGGGTTTGGTGTAGGTAGAGCCCCAGCTTTGACATTCTCACAATTAAAGGGTAGGGCGAGCATTGGGAAGGTGAAGGAGCAGGAATATGTGAGCAGCACTCCCACCCACCCCAGGTTCCTAGTTAATGAGCAAGTCTCACAGTTGAACTGTTTTCATGGAAAACTGTTTCATGTTTTCCAGCTCATCTGCTAAAAACCTTCAAGGCTTATGCACTGTGGCGGTGTTTTGCAGCTGGGATCTGAGCTGTCTGATTTCCTCATGATTTCCTGGTTTCCATCACAGGTCCTTTCTCAGATGCATTGCTGTAGCAAGAGTCCTCACTACATCAGCCTTCCAGTGCGGGGCACAGAGCTTGCAGCCTTCCAGTGCAGGGGCACAGAGCTTGCAGCCTTCCAGTGC